GGTTGTTTTGTTTGTTATAACTACATCTATCATCCTGAGCTCTCCTCCCTCTTTTTTGTGTTTGTTACTCTCTTGTAACACCTCTAATCTTCGGCATTTATATGACCTTATTGTGTTGCAAGTGCTGTAAAACTCTTACTAAAACTAAACTAAAACTAAAGTATAACTACCTACTCTAGGATCAAGGGGTGTAGAAAACATGAGAGAGAAAAAAAACACACGATGTTAGCAGAGATCGAAATCCAGACCTCTTGGCTGACAGGTAAACACCATCCCAGTTGAGGTACTGAGCCTTATTCCCTACCTAGATTGTTATCTCATCGTTAGATGGAAGCATTTCACACATGCATATCCCTATCCCCGCGGTTTTATGCAAAAAAAAATTCAGAATTTATGCAAACTGAACCCAAAACTATGAAATTATGCTATTTTGTTCATTTTAACAAAGAATGATAAAGGAAAATAATCAGAAGTTATACAAAAAGTGATCAAATTTTGCTAAATTATGCGGAGTGCATAAAACCCCAGGAACAGAATTATTACCTGGACACCTGGAGGTGTCATCTCTAACTCAGAGGTTGACTTGTTTAATGACCCTGCATCCTTCACCGTCGCGAGCTGCCGTTGCACATTCTGACCTATTCGGGCCAGTCCATGTTTTTGTGTTGTCCTTCCAAGTTACTTTATGTCTTCACCTGGCTCTTCCACCCTACATCCTTCCTTCAAGCCCCCCTTTTACAATGGCCTTGTGTCGTTTTTAAGTTGCCATAGTATTGTATTCATCATCATTGCCTTTCTCTCCCTAGATCAGGATATAGATCACGAACAAACACTTTCCACCTTTCTCTATCCTTGATGTCACTCCATGTCTTCCCACTTTTCAGTACATCCATTACCGTGACTCTTCTCCAGGTTCCACTTGGTCTTTCCCTTGATCATTTACCCTGTGGGTTCCAATCCAACACTTTCCTTGTTATTCAGGTGCTTGGCTTCCTGAGAGTGTGTCTAATCCATCGCCAAAGCCTTCGCCTAGTATTTTATTAAAGCATGCATATTAACAATTTTCAAAGTCAATTTTAGTGGTTGGTTGGCGAGTGCTCTGGTGTGGTTTGCTCCTTCTTTCCTATCAAACATCTATCGTCTTCATCTCCCCTCCGTCTTTTTATGTTTGTTACTCCCTTGTTACACCTCTAATCTTCGGCACTTATATGACCTTTTTGTGTTGCAAGTGCTGTAAAACACTTACTAAAACTAATAGTCAATTTTATTTGTCTCCGACAGAGCAAGATCGCAGTCCAATGGATGATTATAGCACTTATTCCGGGAATATAGAGGAGGAGGAAGAGGAAGAAGTGGACATGTTTATCTGGTACATCGTCATTGCAGCTGGCACAGTGATGGTCATTATCGTCATCATCACCGTCGTCTCCGTTTGGCGATGCCGTCACTCGCACTACACGGCCACCCCTCAGGATGACCTTGACATTGATGTGGAGAACTTGCCCATCAACTCTGCGTACCATCAGGTCTGTTGGCTGGAGGTTTTCAAAGATCGTGCTTGTTTTAGTGAAGGAAAGTTCACAAAAGAAGGTTATAGAACGACCTCAACACAAGAGTATTACTGTTTGTTTATCATTGTATACAGGACCCACCATGCTGGTAAAGGTGCAGGTAGACTTGAGACTTGAGAGCTAAGATTTTCATATAAATGTGTCACGACTTGGTAGAATCAAGCGCTCGTCAATTTTTGGGGACATGGGGTTATTGGTATAATCTTAAACTTAAAGCCTGTTCATTTGTCTTCCTTTTGGTGAAAAAAATATCCTTCTATGTTGAATAGAAGTCTAGGTACTTGCGATTGAAGGAGGCCAGGGTCACCTTGTTTCAGAGGTACAATTAGCGAGAAAATGGCCACCAAAGTTTGGTAAATCCAATAGCTAAAGAGTCATTGAAAACTGAAAAATGACATATTTTGTGCCTTTATCAGTAAAATTCATGGAAATGTGTTTTTATATGGAAATAAAAGAAGTTCAATCCAAAATAAAAATACAATAAAAATTTTCAAACTCGCAGAAAAATAGCAGTTTCTCAGATTTCATTATTTTGACGTGCGCCTGATTTCACCAGGCTGCTTACCAAATCATGTTACATTCACCAGATAAATAAGAAGTACCTAATTTTTCATAGCAAGTTTCATCACCATTGTTAGTGGCTTTTGTTCACTAATAACTACACTTCAAAACCAGTCAAGTTTTTTGGGGTTATTTTTTAACCTGATTTGCGGAGTTTGTTCTTTTAGTTGACTAGTCTATAATTATGGGGTTGTTGTTTTTTGGGGGGTTTTTCGGGGGGTTGGGGGGGAGAATTTCTCAAATAATTCAGCTTTTTGCAGCTTTTTAGGATGTTCTGAGTAATAATGATAGACACATCAACACAATACCAGTCATTTCGTACTTGGAAAAAATTGGGATAGATTAACAGAATCAACACAGAGAGAGAGAGAGAGAGAGAGAGAGAGAGAGAGAGAGAGAGAGAGAGAGAGT